GATCTTGTTGTCTATAACTCTCTTAAAATTCTCTCAAGCCTTATCAAAATGATTCAATATAATTGGTTTCTGGTAGAATTTGAACAGGCATATTCACCAGGGTTCTTATTACTAGTTACTACCCTTCCCCCTATCCTTATCATTATAGATTCCTGGGCCATTCCTACCAGGTAAGACCACAATTCGGTTAGAGGTTATTGCTGACAGCACAATGATAATCAATCATAATTTGTAGGTCCCTGTTATTCCGTAACAGGCCCTGATTTGTACTCCCTCCGCCCCATTATATGGCGCACATTTCTCGTTTTTCACAGGAATTAAGGGAGAGGGAGTGTGTAAAAGTATGGGTTTTATTATATGGGAAACATAAAAGCAAATAATTACATTTACTAAAGGTTTGGATGTATGAGATTTTTATTTGGGAAAGGTAAAAACAAAATAGTAAATAATGACATTTGATGAAGCTTTAGATGTAGGAGTTTTATAATGGAAAAAGTAAAAAATGAATGATGGCACGAAATAATGGGGAAATGTAGGGATATTTTATATAGGAAAGGCAAAATGGTAGGAGTATTGTGGTAAAATTATGTACTACCTCTGTTTCATATTATTTGCAACTTTGGGGTATTATTTGTGAGATTATTTGCAACTTTGGGGTATTATTTGTGAGATTTAAAATATTTCAAAGTTACAAATAATATGAAACGGATGTAGTATAATAGAAATAAAAAAATTGGAAACACAACATTTTAGGACACCCAAAAAAGAAAACAAGCATTATATCGGTATTTTAAAAAAGTTGCCCCTATTCACAGGTCATTACTGGTCATGTGCTTTGTCTTGCACTTTGGCGTTTCTTTTGGTGTACATCAGCTACCCTTCTTTCTGGAAGAGTTTTCCTTGTTCCAGGATGCTGAGACAAAAGTCATGCTCCTTTTGTTTGGTTGGATAATCATTTTGTTTAATAAATTATCACAGTGCTGTGCCACTTAACAAACCAGATTTTCATTTTGCTTAATGAATTATCAAAGTGCTGTGCCACTTAATAAACCAGCTTTTCTGCATTCTATTTTAGGGGTGGGGTTGGAGGTGGGGTTGGGGGATTATTTCGTATTATTAGGCATCTGATTGGAATTCCTTAGGTAAAAAGCACAAAATATCATGCGATAATCTACATTAGTTGTTTTTTTTTTTTTTTTTTTTTTTAATTCTTGGTCCATCTAGTCTAGTATGGACAAAGTCAATGTCAATTCTTTCATTCCTATTGTAGGTTCGATCTATAACGTTGGATGTCAAGGTTTGGGAGCCGACAGTGTTGGAATTATTTCAAGCACTTGGTAATGCTTACTGCAACTCTGTGTGGGAGGAACAACTGTCTGTTGATAGGAGGTAAACAATTATGACCTGAAACTTTAAACACGCTCTGGGAATCTTACTTACTATATGACCTGCTTTCAGAATTTCAGTATTTTGCCTCCATAAATTATTTATCGATCTAGTCCAAGTATGTGGACGAAGTAAATTTATTGACAAAGTATTTATTTATCTTTTTGCGATGAAAATTATTTAAGTAGAAGAAATGATGAGCATATTTTTTAAATAAGTTCTTAAAGATAAATTTAATTAAGAAAATCAGTTGCTGCCTCTTTCTTTGACTCCCAATGTGCCGAATTTCCTGCTTATTAAATTTTGTATAAACCTGCAAATGCAGAAAAGAAGAATCAGATAGTTCTGTTACGTCCATTGTGAAACCATCTTCGAATGATTCTTTCAGCAAGAAGGAAAAGTATGTCCAGATGAAGGTAATAAATATGATATCTTCTTGTCTTGATGGAAAACCTCCAGGTTACTGTTCTCCAATGACGTTATAACATGATTTCTTTGCCCTGGTTTCAGTATGCAGAAAAGCAGCTAATTAGCCTGAATGCAACCGATTCAGTCCTCGGTTCACGAGCCAGTGCTCTGTGGGAAGCAGTTAGAACTAGTAACCTGCGTGAAGCTTATCGACTGATTGCTGTATCAGATACCAGTGTCTTGAATACAACATATGATGAAATACACTGTGCTGACTTGAGTAGATTGGAAGAAGAGTTGGGCAAAGATGGTCACAAGTTGGATCCAGCTACATGCCCAAGGTTAAGGGGTGGTGAACCTGAAAAATGTCTACGTGGTTGTTCATTGTTGCACTTGGCATGCCATGTTGGCAATACTGTGATGGTTGAACTTTTGCTGCAATCTGGTGCTGATGTTAATATGCGTGACTTTCATGGAAGGACTCCTTTGCACCACTGCATTGCAAGAAAGAACGACGAGTTGGCAAAGTATCTTCTAAGAAGGTAAACATAATTTACCTAGAAATTCCTGCAGTTATGCCAAAAGAATACATCTTACAATTATAGACCTCATGTCTTTGTTCTCACTGTAAACTTGCTTCTTTTTCCTATTTAATTTTTTATTTCTGCTATAACTTATAAACTGTTGCTAGGCTATTGATCCAGTTGATGAAGGTCCCCTCTTAAAATATTCCCTCGGTCTGAACTTAGTTGTCATTATGTCCCAAACCCTTAATGAATTAACATGATATTAATAAAAAGAAAATCTTTATAATAGCCATGTTGTTTATGTCCACTCCTCATCAATTAAATTATGTACTAGTGACAAGAAAATTTGATCATAAGCCAATTCTAGTTTAAGAATTATTACTATGTATTTACTTTATTGGACTTCCTAGTTCCTATAATACTACTTAAATTGGACAAAGGAAATATTCAGTATGATGATTAACTTATGATATGAACTAGGATCTTTGGTATCTTTACTTTCCATTTCTAGACTTTACACCCGATCTAAACTTTCAAGTGACATTAGTAATCTAGTACCAAAAATAAGATTTTGGTTTTTTCTCAGCAAATCCTTTATTCTAGTTCTCACCCTAAACCTAGCCTCAAATTAAAAAAAACGTTTATCTTCCCCGAAATTAACCACTCTTACTCCAAATCCTAGGCATAATTCGACCTAGCATAGTCTAATTTGTCCAGAAAGGTTATAGATCTGAAGTTTAGACCAATTTAAAACACCATGGGCCCAAAAGGGTCTTCAACCACTGTAGACAAGAGGGGAATAAGATGCAGAAAAGACTAGCAAGTCGCCTTTTCAGAGGAGAGAAAGGGCAGCTTCGAGGTTAGCAGATGTTGGTTTGCGTCATTTGGTGATGGAGGCTGTGGTGGATGAGGCTTCAGACGTCAGTGGTTGATTGGCTGGGGGTTGCTAGGGATTTTGGGGTTGCTGAGAGAAGGGAGGTGTGTACTATGTAGTAAAGGTGGATGATCAGGATCATATGGGTAGCTAGTGGTGGTTGAAACCTTCTGTCTTCTTTTCTGAAGAACTGTGTCAAAATGGTTTCAAAATCTGATTATAAGGAATTCAATCTTAAAACATATCTACTTTAAGAAATATTATTGCTTTATAGGAGACATCCTACAATAGTACTTATTCCGAAAGTAACTTATGATTTCAACTTGAATTGCTGGTACCTCTAATTTCCATTACCAGAAATTTGTACATTCCTCAACCTCCTCCAGAACTTTTGAGTGACACAACACACAAGTAATTTTAGTTCTAAAGATAAGACTTTTTTTTCCAACCAAACCTTTATTGTTGTTCTGTTAATATAACTTTTTATTTATTACCTATTTGGCTTCAGAGGTGCTAGAAGGCTTATTAAGGATTGGGGAGGACTGACTGCACTAGAGAGAGCTATGGAGCTGGGATCAATTACAGACGATGTGCTCTTCATTTTGCTTTCTGAAAACGAGTAAACAAATTTTTTACACGAACTGTGTTGTACGAAGCCACAAAGGTACAGTGTGTTGAATTATAAATTTATACTTGTATTAATCTGGCTTGTGTAATTCAAACTATGTAAATTATAGTCATGTATATGCAAGCATGTATCATATATTCATATATATGAAACCAAGTTCAATCCAATTTTAGCCATTGTTTACTGTATGGATGATCTACGCATCTGTTTATAGTTTTGTTGTTCCATATTACAGTGTTTGGTACGGTGAGCTGATTATAAGAACGGTACCTTGATAACCCAGTTTTATACACATTATTCAATTACAGATACATGATATAACATCTGGGAAAGGTTTGGTCTACGCATAAATAGCATGCACATCCTCACTCTGCACTTAGGTTTTTGTATTTCACTCTACAACACCTTAGTTTCCGACTTTCGTGTTGCAATGAAATGGTAAAACCAGCCTCTTGGGAAGGGGGGATGTGAAAACAACAAATACTCTGTATCAAAGTAAAGTTTTGACAGATTTGTGTCAATGACAACCGCCGTTTGGAAAGCGGATGCTTATACAACCTTCTTATGGGAGAAGGTTGAATAGCCGATGCTTTTTATCTTTGGCCCATCCCTTAGCATCACTGATATAACTTTCCATGTACTTCAATTCCCAAATCCTATCTAATTTAGTTCTAAAATGAATGCTTCTTATCTTAAATATAAGACACTCTGATTTAATAATCCTTTAAACATTCATGCAACTTTTTCTGCAATTCAATAATTGTGAATCTTTCAATGGTTCCTAAAAAGTTGAAATTAGAGTGCTCTTGAATAAGATTGTTAACATGGATAGAATTGAATTTTACCATTGCTCGTCGAGAAATTGCACTCAGATTTTCCCTTATTCTCTTAGAGTCATTGTAGTTCAAGCACATAGTACGTACTACGTAGCCCTGATCAAACCAGAAAACTAAGGGTTGGAATTCTACCAAGACTCGAACTAAGCAAAAGTGAAACTATTTACTGTGCTATGATGTTTGCTTTGCCACAGATTCAAGTGTTTGCAGAATGCTGTCTAAGGATTTGTCAATTGGAAACGCTCAATGTTACTGGCTTTGTCATAATTTAAATATAGGTAGTAAATTAAACATATCTAGCCTAGCTTTATATACATAAAAGCATGTTTCCTGCTCCCAAATCAGCAATGCCCTGCTGAGCGCTGTTTAAAGCAGCTGCGTTGCTGTGTTACAGCAGTAGAATAGTGAGGAGCTGATGTTAAGTGCTGCAAGCAATGAACAACAAATTTATAAACAGGAATGTGTTTCTTACTGAACATATACAAAATAAACTGTATCTAACTTAACCCAGTAATCTTTATTGCTCTAAGAGATTGAAGAATTACTCGACAAAGATTATATCTCAAAAGCCAGAAGACAAGTAAATGATTTGAAGTGTTATGACCTCCCCCCAACCATATTTATCGTCTCTGAGGAGCAAAAAGGAAGTAAATAGAAAGTAACGTATTGTTCAATACAGCCTTGGAAAAATTTCTTACCGTGGTACCACTTTTCGATTCTGAGAAGCCCCAGAACCTGCACATAATCCAGAAGAATTGCATTTGGGAGTTTTTTGCATTTTTGAAGTACTTAAAGCTTTTGAAGAAACAAGCTGTTGATTGATCTTACCTTTGACATTTATGTTCCTTGGCTTCTTTAGGTTACTACCTGCAAACTTGACTGTTTTAAGTGCACTATAGTGTTTTCGCTTTAAGCTCGCCATTTGATTGAGAATAGCTCCAGAATTAGTACCTATAAGTGGGATGGGAGTGAAGGCTTAAAACAGTGATAAACTTAGAAACTTAGTGTAGAGTATTACTTTTCTTGTAATATTATCTCAGCCCTGAAGAAGTATAAAGCATAAGACAGTATCTGAATCGATTCATTGTAAGTATGCAGGGAGCTGCTACTGTAATGTAAAACATTCAAAACGCAAAATATACACAACTCAACCCCTAAAAATTAACATAGAAGTAATGGTATATATATAAATAACCTTGAAGCCACTGCAGTGCAGCTTGTGCAGCAAGCTGTTCTGAGTCTTTCTTGCTTTTTCCTCCTTTGCCAGTGAAGTTATTACCAGCCACTGTCACCGTGGAGACATAAATAGGTAGCTGTCCTTCTCCTTCCGAAGACCGAGTCTTGTACGCAGGCATATCTAAATGTTGTTTGCATGCATATTCATACAGCATTGACTTGCTACATTTTGGATCCTACAAAAGAATGAGAGAAGGTTATTGAAGGAAGACAAAGTTAAGACAATTGGAGCTACTAGTATCTTTGCTAGTGTATTAAATATATCATCAAATCATGGACACATTAAATCAAGTATGGAAACAAATCTGCAATCAGTTAAGTGTCTTGATATGGTTGCATATAAGTAGGCATTAGAAGTATTCTAGACCTAGCTAAGTCGTACTTTTAGGAAGGCTTCGACCATAATACAGATTATGTATATTGATGATTGCTGAATTGCTGATAACTACATCATGAGTTGGTTATGAGTGTCTGCAAGAAATCGGCCTTTACCCCATGTTTTGAGATGGATAAACAGAAACTATATGGTAACACAAGCAAGAAGGCATCCTATTGTTGCAGCTACTTGCCTACTTTGTATTGGATTTGGCGGCATGTCAAAAACAAGGCATTATGCAGTAGCTAGTTCATTACATTGATAGTGAACTAGTGAAGTCGATAAAGATTGGACTTACGGTGTCTTAAGGCAGGGTCCTTCGCAGATGGTTTGCCCAACATTTACTAGATTAGATAGCTTATGAAAACGATTATCAGATTTGCAATACTATGTTACTGACCAAAAAACAAAACCTGCATCTCCTTTTCAATCATATAAAATATTAAGGGCAAGTATCTAAGGATTTGCTTATAACACACCTCATGAAGCAGGGGTTTGGCATCAAGCTGCTGTTCATTGCATACAATACACTCATAAGCAAGTTTTGCTGCATCTTGTTCAGCTTCTTTGAGACGGCGAAATGTCAGCTTAGATGTATACTCCACTCCTTCAACAAACACAGTGGACCTGAACATTGGTGCGTGCTGAAATCCCTCGTTGGCTGTTCGATATGATGGGAATGGCAAAGCTCGTTTTTGAGTGTATTCTTGCAGCTTATTCTTGAAAATGGGGGGCTCATGTTTACCTGCAATTATTTGATCAAAATATAGTATGTGATCAACTTAGAATATAGAAAGTACACAATTAAATTACATTAAAAAGACAACAGATTAAATCAAGACCCGAACAAAAACTCTGTGTTTGCAAATAAATTATAGATGGATATTTCCTTCCGCGACCAACAAAATGTCATATAATTTCACAAGAAAAATTGAACCAGTGTATGCTAGTAAAAATGTTGTTTTGTAGTTAGAAAGCACAACATTCGTTATTAAAATTTTACTCTTTAAGAAGTTAATTTTACTCTTTAAGAAGTTATGTAAACTACCTAGCTATCTGATCATGCATCATTCTAGCACGAGTCTTCAACATTATTATACGCGTACCAACAGTGAGTTTATTATAACAATTTGGTTCACAGTATGGTTATTCATATGTTATTGTATACAATCCATGCAATCAAGCATTAAGAATAAGATCATATATATGAAAAGAAAGAAGAGCTTACTTGTTGAAGACATTGCTATCCTCGAAAGAGTTGATCGGCTTCCCAATTCCAAGTGTTTGTCTCTTCTCAGTTCCTATGAATGTCCATACAAAGTACGAAGTATAAGCTTAGTTGAGAGAGTGGCCTCTTTTTCCACCATGCTTTTGTTGAGGGAAGCATCTTGAGTACTGAATTCGAGAATATGACTACTAATTAGTGTAGATGGACTATACTGCCATCAGATATTAGTCCCACATAGCTTGTACTTAAAGGTTATTTTGGTCCATTTGTTTTGTGAATATTTAAGTGTGAAGGTCATATGTGGATATATTGTGACATCTTTTCGTTCACTTTAATAATAATTTACTACGGAGTATTAAAATTGTGAGAATATTTTATGAGAAAATATAAGTGTTCTCAAAAATTACTAATACATAGATTTTATAGGTGAGAAATCATGCGAAGTAGATATACCAAGTAAAGTAGCCACTTAGTGTATTCATGTTTAACACATAACCAAAACACAAAATTCGAAGAACACATGCAAAAACATGGTGAACGACACATTTAATTTAATTTTCACATGGAGGGAAAATTCTTCCAAGAATGGATTTCCTCTGTTATGGAGTTAAATCAAACCATTTATAATTACGAATGGATCTTTTTTGAAGAGGCGATTTGAGATATAGTTAAGGCCTAAGGGAGCACATAAGTGGGAAACTTTGACTAACATCCACTAAATGTATTATCTTCATAAATTACTTTGACTAATATTTGTTGGAAGTTTTTGATATAAAACAAGAGTGTTGGAAGAAAACAAGAGAGAGAGACTCACAAATGAAAGGGAAAAAGTCCCACATTGGTTGGGGGGAGAGATTTTGCCTTGTTTATATTTTGTAGTGTCTTAGCACTACTTAGTTGAGTGATTTGGAGGTGGGAGTTGTATCTCATACATGCGCGCTTGCTATGTCGGAATGTGATGTGTAGGCGTGGGACCCTCTTATTTTTTTTAGAGAAATTTTATTTCCTTTCTTTGTTGACAGAATATTCCTAAGCATTTAATCCGTTTTTTGACTGTTGGGATTGTCTGATTGTCAGGAATTTATTTTAATCTGGACGGATTTTTGGCTAGTTCTTCCCTTATTTTCTGCTAGTTGTTTCCTCACTGCCTATTTATACTCGGTTATACAACAATTCGTACCTCTCTCTCTTCTCTAAAATACTAAACACTAGGCAAGTATTCTAAATTCCAGTCGGGTTTCTGAGTCCACATAAACTCTGGCGCCGTGCTTATCCTGGAGGGCGACCACTTCTTGTCTACTGCACCGGGAGGTAGCGCGGAATCGTCTTTAGGTCAGTGGTTCGCCACGACACGGCTACTGTCAGTTTTGGTTCACGAATCAAGAGATAAATAATTTCTGCTTTATTGCTTGTAGTATAACAACATTTGAGTACAAAAAGTGAGGGATAAGTTGATAGTTCGCATCTATTTAGCTAAACTTCATCAAACTTTAGTTGTCAAGTTATTAATTCAATTATACGACCAGACAAAAGTTTTAAACAAGGCATAATTTGCATCTTGTTTAAGATCTTCCCAGGATAATCTTAGCGCATGTCTAAGCTTAGTCTTACCCGAAGTCTTAAGATAGGAACAAAAGCAAATTATTTAGTCTAAGCAAAATGGCCGAAATCCCTAACCTGCATCTCAAATTTCCGATGTTAACATAGGGAACTAGGGAAGGTGCAAGAAAATGGATGGTCCCCCTCATCAGCATATTGGGAAAATAAAGTATAAAGTAAATACGTAGGATAAAGTACAATTTGACACGCGTTTTAAATAATAGGTCTTGTATACAACGGGTGTATTGTATACAACATGCTTAGTCACCTTTAGACCGTCACACTTGGCCGAGTCATCTAAAAATAAACTTCACAAAGGACTTTTTCTTTTACAATACACCCATTTACTATTGGTTTTGCAAAAGTTAAGACAATGTCACTAGCAATTACAGGAATTTAAAAGCAAATTTACCTTAAGCAAAGTATAATACAACTCCAACTTCTAGACTTAAACTTGAGATAGAATCACCTCAACCTAGAGTTCAAAACGTGGTAACTACTAACTATAGTATACAATTTCGCCCAAGTGAGCAAGTAGCATAGGGCAGCTTGCCTAATGTGACCAGAGATGAGAAAGAGCCTTTCCATTTTTGCATACTGCAACACACTCAAGCACATATTCTCTGAGCTTCTTCTGGACTTCTTCCATTGGCAAGCAGGCATCAACAATCTGTTATCATTCAGCATCGTATGAACATCCAGATGGCAGTAATTAAGGAATTTGATGAAACAGCAACTATCTCACCGAAACTAGTTGGAAAACGTAATAGACAAAAATAAAAAAGAACACTCATACAAGAAGAAAATTTTGGGAAAATGGAGGAAGAAGAGGAAGCTGCTGCACATTTATACAATTATTTTCTGACGAGAATTAAGTTTGGAAAACAATGTTTGAAAGAAACTGGAGAATGTTATAGAAAAAGAGAATTAGAATAACCTGCACTACATAATATTGTGTCATCAGGATGCAAGAAAATTCACCACTGTCAAACCATTTACCTTACCCAACATGGCATAAATTACATTGCAAGCTAAAGTTTTTTAAGAAATCATGAAAAGAACTTTACCTTCCATGAGGCATCATGAAGAGCCTGATATTTTTCTCTGACCTTCCCCTGAAAATCAAGACGCTCGTATCTTTCATCACCATAACCACCTCTTTCTGCAGCTTTCTGAATTTTAAAAATAGATATTAGGATATGCTTTGATCTGATTTTTTAAGATTTGGTGGAATATGACTTGCATATACAGATATAACAATAATATGCACCTTGATTTTTTTTTTCAAATATAATACTATTTAGTTGTAACTTGTATAACCTTCTTTCAATTCAGGACCATGATATAGATGGAAGGTAATACAGCAGTAAAGCAATTGGCATACTTATTCAATCTAGTGCATTAAAATAGTACAGTCTGATGAAAGCTATGAAAAACTAAGATTTGGTTTAACAGCCATGTCTCAGATTTTACCAAACAAATGGTACGTCCCATAAATTCTTATTCGTGAAACTAAAGGCAAAATTCCTATCATGCCTATTCAACAACCAATGTTTTTGCAAATAATTTCCAAATTCCAAAGCTTGCTTTTTGAATGAAGGTATACCTCTGGTGATATATCAAGGTATAAGACCATGTCTGGAGCCAGCAATCCTATCTCTGGTGCCTGCACAAAGAGAAGAGAAATATGGTCATATTGCAACTAATTAGAGTATGCTTGAGTCAACTGGTTAATTTACAAAGAGTTGGAATCTTCAAAGCAATTAGTCAACATAAATCACACTTGCTCAACAGCTCAATTGAAGATGGGTTTTTGTGTAATTGTATTACTTCCTTATATCAGTCATCCTCTCTTCATAGATGGGTTTTCAATATTTGCCATTGTTACCAAACCAAAACAGTTAATACTTTCAGAGACAGTATTTAGAATCCTTATTCTTTCACAAGTCATGGGATGATGAAAAGTTAGTAACCAATTTTATAGAAGATTTAACAGTCACTTGAACAGAGATTGTGGTAATAACATTTTACCTTACACCAATCAAAATCAAGGCCTTTGGCAGACGAGAAAGCCACACCAGAGTATGAATAACGATCTATAATGAGAGTAGTCCCAGATTTCAACTTTTCTTCCATCATGGATCTGTAATTGTAGATGACAAAGTCAACAACTAAACAAACATATCACCAAAAAACAGATTCATGAAGAAGTAAAGTTTACAACTTTAAATCACATTCTGAACTCCTGTCCCAATATACTTGTATATATTTCCACAATCTCAGGGGAATAAAGACAGTTTTTTAAAAGTAATCTATCATAATTCCAACTATAATCTCCCGAGCGTAATATAACCGAGAACGAATTACCCAAATTAACCAATAAATAACATAGAAAGGAATTAGATTCAGTTAAACATAACATCAAACACATGGTGTGCAACTCACAAATTATATAAAAAAAATATAAAAAAAAAAAAAAAAAAAAAGGAACAACCTTTTCTCCCATCGATTAGCACTGAATAAAAGATGAATAGTATGGTCATCTAAATTAGATTGATTGGAAAGATAAGCAGAAATCATCTGTCCAACAGCGGTATTTCGATCCGGAAACTGCCATAACTCAACAGAACATCCAATACTTTGCAAGTGAGAGTGAAGCTGACTACACTGAGAGCTCTTTCCACTTCGATCTAACCCTTCTAATACAACCAAAGCACCTCTTGATTGTAAATTGGGGTTTAGGGCAGAAACTTCAACTTTCTTGGAAGACTCATTCTCCATTTTTGTAGCAAAAATTGAATAATTCCGCTGAAATTTAACACTGTTATACCGAATTGATGGTCGTCCTGCAATTGCCTGCTGCCTGAAACAGCTGAAATTATGTAAGAGAGAAAAATTAAAATTAAAAATTAGGGTTAGCCTTTGAAAGAAATACCCAATTCAGGAAAACAAAATTAGAATTGGGATGCAATAAAAAGAGAACTGACAGTAATAAAGGCTTCAAATTTGGAAAAGTTCGCAGCATCTGATGATTGATTGTTGTTCAGCGCCAAAACAATCTTCAATTTTGTGAATCCAAAAATTTGAAACGAATAAAAACAAAATTTTCAAATTTTGGGCGGGAACAATGTTCAAGGACTCAAGGTTGAACCTTGAGCGTCTGTTAGACAGTTATCATTTGGACGCGCCTTTTTTCTTTTGGGTATATGACACTGTATTCCCATACATTCTGTAATATGTATTATGCCGTAGTTTTAAATACTTCCTTTGTTTGTTCCTCAAAAAAAAAAAAAAAATTACTTCCTTTGTTCCCGTCAAAGAAAAAAAAAAAAAAAAGCTTCCTTTGTTTTCTTTTAGTTTTACTCCGTATGTGCTAGTGATTTGGTTTTTGTCTTTAGAAACAAAATTCAAATGGCAATTTTTTTTTTTTTTTTTTTGAGAAAAATGGCAATTTTTTTAAAGGGGGGGAATGATGCAAATAAAGACTCCTTATGGCTATGTTTATTATTTATAGTTAATTACAAAATTCTATTGGCTTTATGCCTTAACCTTACTTTTAGGGGCTGTTTGGTTTGCACAGAGAAATCGGAATGGAATGCAGAAGAAAGGAAAGGAATTCCCCTAATTTGGGCAAGTTGTTTGGTGAACTATTCATTGATTCCTTTTGTGGCTGTTTGGTTCAAACTAGGGAATCAAACCATGATTTTTAAAATTTCTTTTTTTTTTTTTGGTACAATAACCTCTTTTTATATGATAAGCAAAAAAAATAAGAAAAAAAATATTTTCCTGTAAAATGAAAAAAAGTGATGTGAAAAAATATTTTCATATTTTCCATAGTTGCATGTAACATGAAAAAATATACTTTTATACTTTCCGTATTTTCCTATAATATTCCAAAATAGACCTGTTTCATATCATGTTTTGTGAAAATAATACCAAAATATTGTTCATAGACTACGACAGTTTTAGTCATACCAAAATACTTTTCCAAAACAACAACAAAAGGTAATCATACCAAAATTAATAACACCTAATTCAAAACAAACTAGGTAACCACGACAAAAGTTTTAAGCATTACCGTTTTCCCTAATAAGACTCTTAACATAACTACTTTTCAAAGCGTCTAGACACTTTGAAAATATCATAAGCTTGTGTGGTTTCGAAGCTAGATCTTCGGCAACTTCAAACACTTGTTTAGGAATGACACCCTCTAAATTGAGAGAGAGTAGTTCCTCGCTGCACTAATTTTTTCTCTCTTTCATGTGTATCTTTTTCACGTTCATTAATGCTTGCCATTACATTAGTCATAGTGGAAAGATGAACATTCATATCTTTCATGAATGTTTGTAAGCTGGCCAACTCGTTCGAACTACCAGCACCATCACTTTTTCTCCTTCTTTTTGTAATTTTTTTTAGTCTTGATTTTTTATGAGGGAGGAGAATTAAACCACCAACTCACTCATCATCACTTGAATCAAGTGTAACCTGCGAAGGGACAACTTTTTTCAAATGGTCAATTGCTTCAACATAACCTTCAGCTGGTTTACCAATAGCATAGTCTTTGCCATATATATTCTGCAATTCTGAAAGCATGTATCTTTTTACCAAGTTATGTAATAAGGCACATCCAAGCACAATTCGACCATGTGTTTGTAAACTTTTTGTTTTGTATTTCAAATTAAAGTGTTGGTTTTATTTTATTTTACCTTGAAATATTTCCACCTTTCATCGTCGCAATCCTCTTGCATTGGAGTTGATTTCTTAAGAAGAACAACATGTAACTTTAAGATTTCTAACAAACAAGCATGAAATTGTCTACTAATAGTTTCACCACTTCTATACAAATGTGCAACTATCATTATTTTTTTCTTATGGTGAGCTAATGTGTATAAGAAGCCCGCAACAATCTCTTCCAAACATGTGTTTCTTGTTTCATATAATCCACCAATATCTCTAACCATCTCTAAAAGTACATCGAATGTGTATCGATTTATACGAAGATAGTTCCTACACAAAGTGTCACTTTCTCTAATCATTCTATTCAAGTTGTGTAATCTCATTTTTCTTCTTGTGTGTTTATCTAACTTAAGATGTTGAGATTGTATATTGTTTTTCTTATCGAGTACACCGACAAATGTAGTAACACAACACAATTAATCATAGTAATTATGAAATGAAGGTGGTCCCAATTTCTCTTCCTTTTCAAAGAAGTACCAATACGAGCCATTTTCTGTACAAAAGAACATCAACAACACCATATCATTGAAAAGTTTACATATTAATACAAAACAAAAGAAAAGCAAACAAACTAACCTCTACTAATATATCATCAATGATGAACCAAACAAACTAACCTCTACTAATACAAAAGAAAAGCAGCTATTCAAGACCATATAATCATACACAAATCATAACACCCACGCAAAACAGGACCATATAATCATACACAAATCGATACACCATTAGTCACACCAACACATATCACTGCACCACACTTGCCCAACAAAATACGAATTCAACACACAACACTGCAACACATATCACACGAATTCAGATCTGAAAAAATCAGTAGAATATGTAAATCCCGAACCCTAACGGAATACGAAGAAAAATTCAGGGGCCGTTTATTAAAAAAAAAAATAGAAAACACGAAGAACCCTAATAGAATACGAATTCAGAAGTAAAAAATTCAACAAAAAATACGAATTCAACAAAATAAATCCCAAATGGAATACAAATTCATGAAGTACAAGCAGTGGCGGATTCAGGATTTAAATAATAGGTTGTCCCATCCCATCATCGTCCACCGACCGCATAAAATATCAAAAAATAGTCAAAGCTTGAATGATGGACAAAAAAAAATACATAAAAAGTTCATTTCATAAAGTAATTCAAATTCATATTACAACTAAAAAAGTACTAATTTTATTACAATTGCTCTCGACGAGTTTTCATATTTTGATAACGATGTATAATATCATCCATGCTAACATTGTAAAACAAATCTCTTTCTAGATAAGTAATCAAACAATCATTCAACATTTGATCTCCCATGCTATTACGCAATTTATCTTTAACTTGCGTCATTCCAGAAAATACTCTTTCTACACTTGCCGTTGCAACGGGAAGAATCAACACTAACTTCAAAAGTAAGTAGACTCGGTCATGAGTTTCAAACTTTCCCGTCTCAACAAGTTTCGTAGAAAGTTCACTTAGACTTTTCAAATTCCAAAATCTCTCATCATTTCGAACATCAACAATGAAATTTTCAAGTGAATGTTCAAAAAATAATAACTCAGAGCTTGAAAATTCACCGGGATAAAATTTAGCAAGTTGAACTAACTTTCTTTTGTCAAAAGAGTGAAACCGATTTGCAGGATTAAAGCAAGACATACACACAGGTAATTCCTTACTTACCTCGGGAAATCGATTTTCAAGTTCTTGTAATTGAAGATCAATGACACTTAGAAAAACTTCAACTCTAAAATGATGAAGATTAGTCACATGTGGACCTTTACCTCTATACATTCTTCTCCCAGGAACCACATATCGCCCCTCCATGTTTGGAACCTCAATGTCATATTTAGCCATAAAAGAAGTGACTTTTTCCATATGTGAATCCCATCCTTCATCTCTCAACTTTTGCAAACTAGTCTTGGTTACATCAACCATGACCATTGCATTTACAATATCTTGATCATGTTTTTGCAATGCTACATTCAACGCATTTGTAATGCCAAATATATCAACCATCAAGTGTGCCACAAACACAAAATCAAATGACATCAACAAGTGTGTAATAGATTGTGCTTTATTCGAATCAAGTGTATCAGATACTTCTGCAATGGAATCAAGTGACAAAAGTATTGAAGGATATAAATCAAGCACATTCAAAATGGTTTTAAAGTGAGATCCCCAACGAGTATCACAAGGTCTACATAAGCCACGTTCTTGATTTAAACCAGTTCCCGATTCAATTTCACCCAAAGATAATGCTTCTACAACCCCTTGACGTTGTTTTTCTCGAAGAAATTCTTTCCTCTTAGGTGAACCTCCCACAAAGTTCAAGAGAGGTGCAAGTACGTCAACAAAAAGCCAACCACAATCTGAGTTTTTCTTAGCAAGTGCAACTTGTGTCAATTGAAGTTGATGAGCAAAGCAATGAACAAAGTATGCTTAAGAACATTCATTCAATATTATAGTTTTAAGGCCATTGATTGAACCTTGCATATTACTTGCCCCATCATAACCTTGACCTCGAACTTGAGAGAAAGTTAAAGAGTGTTCCATGAGTAATGACTCAATAGCAGCTTTGAGAGTCAAAGAACTAGTATCAGGAACATGCACAATACCAAGAAAACTCTCACACACTTCCCCCTTTTTATTAACAAATCTCAAACAAAGTGCCATTTGTTCCTTATCGGAAACATCGGCAGATTCATCAGCAAGAATAGCAAAAAATCCACCATCAAGTTCTTCTAATATTGCTTTAGTTGTTTCTTTAGCACAAGCATTGATTATATCTTTTTGGACACTTGGAGAAGTAAGTTGACAATTACCAGGGGCCATTTTAAAAACAACTTTGGAATACTCAGGATCATGGTTTGAAAGAAGAGTTAATAACGAAAGAAAGTTACCTCTAGATAATGAACTTTCCTTTTCATCATGACCACGAAAAGGCAACCCTTGGAACAATATCCATCTAATGGTTTCGATTGAAGCTTCCAGTCTCTTACGATAGGCACTCATGGTTTCCGCTGTTTGTTTTGATAAAGCGGTGGCAATGCTACTCATGTGATTCATGAAAAAGTTCATAGCAATCACGGCATTATTGTGAGCACTCTTGTGTCCACCAACATGCTTTACAATTGTGTCTCTTCTATTCCAAGATCTGAAACCTCCATTAACAAAAGCATCCACTCCCGCTGTGTTACCATCCTTAAAAAGATAGCAAATGAAACAAAAGGCAGCATCTTTCTCAACACTATACTCAAGCCATGTTGGCCAAGTATCAAACCATTTAACACAAAATCGGCGTTTTTTATTCGGCCCAAAAAGTGTTTGAGGAAACACATGATCTTTAGGTTGACATGGCTTTCTTTGAATGTATGTTCTCCGCACTAAATCCCTATCATCGGGATGAAAATCACACATCCTTCTTCTTTTTCCGGGGTCTTGTGGAAGATTAATAATATCAAGTGCACTTAATCTTCCTTCACCAATTTGAGCACTAGGATCCGAACCACCTTGGGGAAAAGATTGCCCATCTTCATATTGAGGGAAATTGTGAGATAGGGAAGAATGTTGTTCACTAGCATGATGTAAAGGAGTACTTGGTTCACTTTCTTGAGAGGGTAAATCATTTTGTGGAGGAGGATCATTTTGTGGAGGAGGAGGATTTAGAGTAGGCACTTTTTTAGTAAAAAAACTTGAAATATCTTGAGTTATTTTTCTTTTCATTCTGAAATTGAAGTTAGGTTGAATTAGATAAATCATACAAGTAGGGTTCTCTCAAGGTTATTAAAACTAATAATATCATAAAAAAAAACGCCCATTAACCTCAATTTCAGTCCACCCTTCAACCCCAAATCTCCAAATTAGCAATCACCATTCTCAATAGCTAATAAGCAAGTTTGACAACTATTATCATTTATCAATTAAACAGAAATAATTCTATAAGTCTATAATAGGGCTCAAATGGTCAAATATCCGGCCATAACTCACATTCACAAATCACAAATTCACAACATTCAAGCTCTAATCAAGTGACGATAATCAAGTCATAACATTCAAGCTTTTATAAAGTCATACAAATAATCAAGCACTAATCAAATCAAGAAATTTCACCCAAAAAAAAAAAAAAAAAAAAAACTCATACACTGATATAGTGATATTAAACATACTGATAATTTTGATTTAAACATTTAAATTAATGATTTCATATAGAAATATAGAATCTAATCTCTATAATCTTATTGCAATGTAATTATATAAATTAAAAGTTTAAAAATAACCTCAAAAAAATCGAATTTGGGGAGCCACTGCACGAGCACGACGCTAACAAACTCACAGACGGATTGACGATTTGACGGACGCCTCACTCATACCTGACGGAGAAGCACGAAAAGGCTGCCGGCGAGGCGGCGATACGGTGAACGGCGACGGGGCTTGGGTAATTGGGTGACTTTGAGACTTAGGGTTTCAATTTGGGGGAATTGGGGATTTGGGGATATTTCTGCCTTATGACTTTTCTTAAATCGTGAAATTGTGAAAATGAGGTTGTAAAGCCCAAAAAAAAAAAAAAAAGTTTGAGAGTAATGGGAGTCGAACCCATATCTCATATGTGGTAGGATGGGGAACAAACCACCAGACTACAAGCTAAAACTCTTGATACTTAGTTTTTTTTTTTTTTTTTTTTATAGAAAATAATAGGTTGTCCGCGGACCCACTATGACTACACGTGGGTCCGCCACTGAGTACAAGTAGAACAAATACGAATTCAACAAAAAAAGGCGAATCCAAGAACACAAAAGAGAGAAATCAGATGCGTGAGAAATCAGAAACCAGACATACCTTCACGGCGGTCGTCGGAGGTTGCGTAACAGTTTTCGGTGGCCGGAGAAACAACGGCAGCGACGGCTAGCTTGAAGCTTCAGGTTAGGGTTTAAAGGCAGATGCAGAAGATGCGTGGGAGGGAATTAGGAGGAATGAGAAAGAAAGAGAATGCAAAAGGCTGGGGGTGGGGAATGAGTTTAGGACAATTTTGGGTAAACCCAAAAATAAAAATGGGGAATGGGAATGACAAAAGATGCAAAACAAACACTTACAAAGGGAATCATTCTCATTCCCTTTCCCCATTACAGCGAACCAAACGGCCCCTTAATTTTTTATTTTATTTTTTTTTTGTAAGGAAAAGGCCCATCTTAGAAGGGGAGATGTAAGGGAAATCCCTCCTATAATGTGTTTGGTGAGATTCGACCCCTAGCCTCACGCTTGAAATTCGGAGAACTAGCAAACTACTCTAACTTCCTATCTCAACCTTACTTTTAAAGTGAGGGGTGTACAAGTGAGTTGTTTTAGGCCTATACGAGTGTTTCAAAATTTAAGTTTGATTCTAGTATCGTGTGTGCATGTATTTTTTAGTTATTATAGTTACTTTTTTTTTTTTTTTGTGTGTGTGTGTGTTAAGACAAGTAAATACGAAGTATAGAACTAGGTTGTATTGTTGAAGGGAGATTAATTGAGTTGAACTTATGTTTGATTTAATTTTTGAAAACATTTTGCGTGAGACTGGACTCACATGGTGAGTCCAGCCTCAACAACAAAAGCCCATACAAAAAAGCGCGGGCTATTAAAACTTGATCTAGGCCTAAAACATACAAAATGCATGTTACTCGGAGGATTATAAAATAGCACAAAATGCATTAATATCAACAACGCCGTTTTTCATCAAATTTCGATTAAAACCTCGTTAAATTGTCAGAAATGGAGAAGTCAGAGGAGATTATGATCATCAACAAAGAATCGGACTCACCTATAAATTCAATTTCGAGCTCAATTTCAACTGAAAAAGGTACGATTTATTATAATTTTGACAATTTATATATGAATTCAAATTTCAAATTGATTTAAAGTATAAAAAAGCATGAATTATTAATAAAATTTTGATGCAAATTTAGTATCGCATTAGATTAACAGTATAAATTTTGATAAATTTTTTATGTAAATTCAGTTTTGGATTGAATTTTAAATAAGAAAATGCAGAAATCATAAATTCTAATTTATGCAGATGCATATTTCAAATACTAAAATGCATAAATTATAAATTATGAATCATGTAAATTTAATTTCATATCTTATTTAATTTCAAATTCAAAAATAAACTCTCATTCATGCAAATTTTTTCGTATCGCATTAATTTTAAATTCAGAAATGTATAAATTATAAATTTTGATTCATTCAAATTAAATTTAGTATCGTATTTTATCTGATTCAAATGATAGAAATTGGAAGTAAATATTATTGTTGAAGTTTCAAATATGACAATTCAGAAAATGCAGAAATTATATATTCTAAATCATTCAAATCTATTTTCGTATTGTATTTTATCATATTCAAATGTAACAAAGCTAAGTAAAATAGTAAACAACGATGATGATTAAGGGTGTGAAGATGTTGCATGCAAAAAATACTAGGTATGTGACACTATGATTCTAAAATATGACACTTTAGATTTGATATCAAACAAAAATAATATAATATCTGATTAATTATGTATTGTCAAATAAAAATAACGTAATATATGACAATAATGATCTATTATCAAACAAAAGTAAAATAATGCCTGACTGTAAAAAAATTATTTGCAAACGCAACTAACATAATACCTGACTATTGTAATGCCTAACTATGATAATCTATAATCAAATAAAAATAACTTAATATATGACTATAATAATCTATTATCAAACAAACATAAAATAATGCCTGACTGTAAAAAAATTATTTTCAAGCATAACTTACATAATACCTGACTATTGTTATGTATTGTCAAATAAAATAGATCTAATACCTGACAATAAAGCTACTGTTTAAATATTTAAATACGATAATTTTAATAGTGTTACTCATATTTTTATTGCAGATAATTACAAATACGACATATATGAAAATATAAATAATTGTCTAGTAGGTTACACAGTAAGAGACTACGATGATGGATTCAATTTGTACAAAGCACATTCAAGATCAATTGGATTCAGTGTAGGAAAATCAACACAAAGAAGAGATAATTCTTGTTTTAGGGATGTTTGGAATCACCTGAAGGGGGGTATGGATTCCCTCGGGAGACAGATCCGGAACGCAACACTCGTACGGCCTGAACACCTGCAAAACAACGAATCTCCGGTTTACCGGAGATCCGCCTCCGACGATCAAGTTAGTGACCGGCAACGGAATTTTAGAGAGAGAAAGTAGAGAGAAGTGAGAGCATATTTTTGGGCAGAGTGCCTTTGGGAATTGTGTGTTGTTTTTTCCCATCATGGATTTAATTATGGGGTATTTATAGGGAAGTGGGAGATTATGTTCCTAGGGTTTCATAACCTAGGAAGATCGTGTAACACCCCCAAATCTCTCTCTACAGAATATGTAGAAAATACATATAAATACCGTAGAGATAGACTTGGGCGTAATACCGCTGCGTAATAACGCAAGGCTTATATTTCAAAATACTTTTGCAGTGGAAATTCTTTTATTCATTATTAATAGTACTTCAAATAAAACTGTTCATAAATCATGACACAAAACAACTCAAACTTTTACTAAGCTAGGTGAAATTCCCGTGGACTCCCATATGCATCAATCAACTTCCACCTGAAAAGTTCACCTGCTTACCAATATGGTAAACAGGGCAAAGCCAAAACCAAAGCACATATTAGCAACTTGTGCTAAGTAGATTATGTGTGAGATAAGTAAAACATTAATTAAAACACGTACATTTAATTCCAATAATTCCAACACATTCTTTTCAATATCATACTCATGCAAGAACTTTTACAATTCTATTCTTTCAAGGCAAGTTTAAAACTCAATCGATTATATTTCAAAATCAATTCCTCACTAAGTGTGTACACCCCCCAAGTGGTTTACTTTATGATCAAAGGCCAATCTTGAGGAACGGCTAGGTCATGCAAAGTCCATAGCCTTCTGTAATCCATTCCCTAAGTGGGATTCATAATATATCGATTGATTTGCTTAAAAGCACCTTTTAAAATCCGTTATACTTGAATAACAATAAACTTGTAAATCGTTTTTAATCCAATCCTTTTTAATAATTTCAATCACGATTTAAAGTCTCTTTCGTTTTAATCAAAATCATTAATTTCAATCCATCATACAACATAATTTCATAAAACATAATTTCATACGGAACGTAATAACATAATTTCCTACGGAACATAAAATATAATTTCATACGGGACAATATAATATAATTTCATACGGAACATAATAAAATATAATTTCATATGGAACATAATAAAATATAAGTACATACGGAACATAATTTCTTAATAAATCATATTTTCGTAAGAAGCATAATAAGTCATAATTTCATAAGAGTTGTATAAAAACATGATTTCATAGTCAACTTTCGAAGGTATCAAACCACATAACGTAACTTGATCGTAACACGAGCTTACTTCACTTAATCACGAACACCCTACACATTATTATAACCTTAATTAATATAAGGCTATCAAATAAACACAACAACTTAAACAAACTACCCTATATGTGCATGAATTAATTATAACTTATTATTATACTTTTAATAAAATAATTTTTCTGTTTTTATAATATATTTTATCCAAGAAATAATATACATGAAATTTAATTATAACTTTTTAGAAATGTAAAACGAGTTTAGGAGAAAAGCAATTGAAGGATGAAGATGGAAACCAAGGCAAAGGAGGAGCAAGTGGCCGGCAAAGGGAGGTGGTGGCTGCCGCCGGTGGGGCTGACTGGCAGCTGCCGGTGATGGTGGTCGCCGGTGGTGGTGGCCGGAAATTTGAGGGAGGAGAAGAGGAGAGAAACCGAGAGAGCAAGAGAGATTTTTGGGGTTTAATGTGTGTCTTGGGGTGCTTGGAAGAGGGGTATTTATTTTAGGTGAAGGGTTTATAGCAATTTAGGGTTGTATAATTTATGGTAATTTCAAAGAATAGAAATTAGGGTTTTAAATGTATGGAAGAATATTAAATTTTATTTGGTCATGAAATTTTGTTTAGTAAGTTTTGAGCTTGGAGTGCAAGTATAGAATAAGATCAAATAAATTTTAGATTTAAGAGTAGAAATAAGGAATTTTAAAGGATTTTTATTTTTAACAAAATAAATTAAAATCATTTAGAAAATTCATGAGTGGCCGAAAATATTGAGCTCAATATTGCTCAATAATTTCGATCTCTCTATGTTAATTTATGGATTTTGTCAAATAATTTTTAAGCCTAAAATTAATAATCCAATAAAATTTATTTTGTGAAAATTAATAATTGGAAGAATAAAATCAGATTTTTATTAAATAAATTGGGGTGGCCGAAAATATTGACTTATAATAATTAATTAAATCATATTTTTATTATATAAAATCCAAAAATTAATTTATAAATATATTTTTCATGAAAATAATTAATTTGGAAAGATATTAAAACAATTTAGATTTTTATTATATGAAATCCGAAAATACAATTTAATTAATTTATTTTAACCGAATTAATATAATTTCGGTTTAGCTATTTAAACTTTGAGAAATCAAAAATACTATTTATAACATAGGTATAAAATAGTTTCATTTATTGGATTATCCATTTTAACTAGTTTTGTAAAATAATAAGACAAATGATTTAGGCGCCAAAATTTAAATATCATTTTGGCTCCAAAACTAAAATACTCTTTAAAAAAATAATTAATTTAGAAAAATACATCAAATTACGAGACTAAAATACTCTTTAATTTAGAAAATACCTTTCAAAAATACGGGGTATTACAGATCGGCTACCCTATACGTGGTTGACACGTGTATTAGGGTTTCCTTTATGTTAGGCATGTATCCTTTAATGGGCTTTGAGCCCTTCATTATCTGATTTCTCTTCGGGCCACGTGTCATGCTCATATTGGCCATTTTTAGCTGAGCAGGATGCCACGTGTTGGCTTATAATTGGGCCACTTGTCGGCCTCTCATCTGTCTATAAAAGGGGGTAAAAATACCCCTAAACAATTCTAATGTTATATAGAATTCTTTATTAATTTTATTTTAGATGCTCTAAAGAAGGGTATACAAAAAATAAAATGAAGGTTGCCATTAGGTAAAACTAGTAAAAAGAAAGGGAGGTAAATGAGACGAGGACTAGATGCAAAGCTTTTATTCATTTCAAAAAAAAAAAAATTGGAGAAGATTCATTTGAAGCAGTTACCCATGACTCCCATGAGTTGGAACATAATCATGGAATGGTGAAAACAATAATCCAACATCATCATCTGAGATCAGAAAGACAAATATCAGCTCAAATGGGTGAACTAATTGAAAATATGATAGCTGTGGAATTAAACCAATGGATGCTTACAATTACATAAGCAATGAAGCTGGAAGTCAGAAGAATATGTGGGTCATACTAAGACAGATCACCTGAATTATGTATCAAGGATGAAAATGAGTATGGTTAAAGGTGGGGACATGCAAAATGTATTAGACACACTGCAAGAAAGAGTAGATAAAGATCCTTCACTTTTTTATAGACTGAAATTTAATTTGGAGAGTAAAATAATGTGGTGAGCTATTTATTTTGGCGTGACTCGCAAATGTTTGAAGATTTCAAAGCTTATGGGGATGTTTTAATCTTTGACACAACATACAGGACTAACAAATATGGTCTGATATGTGCACCATTTGTTGGTATAAATAACCATTGGAGCACACTAATGTTTGGATGTGCCTTTATTACTGATGAGAAAACTGCAACATTTGTTTGGCTGCTTCAAATGTTCAAAAAATCAATATGTGAAATTCAACTAAAAACAATCTTCACATATCAAGATCTTACAATGAGCAATGCCATATAGGAGATAACCATTTATAGCTTTATAATATCTTTTATAGAGTTTGTAATATTTTTATTAAATTAGTATACTATGATAAATATTAATATCTGACTATTAATATTAAATATCTTACTTAAAACCTGACTTTGAAAAACTATTACCAAACTAAAATAATTTAAAACCTGACTATTAAAAAATTATTACCAAACAAAAATAATTTAAAACCTGACTATGAAAAATTATTACCACACAAAAATTATTTAAAATTTGACAATAAAAAACTGATACCAAACAAAAATAATTTAAAACGTGACTAGAAAAACATATTACCAAATAAAAATAATTTAAAACCTTACTATGATAAACTTTTACCAAACAAAATTAATTTAAAACTTGACAATAATGTCAAAAAAATGATATAATACCTTACAATTAAATTAAAGATGAGAAAAACAGAGATTATTACAGAATATTATTACAAATATTAATATTATTATTATACTACTCTTTAATTTTATTTTTAGCTTCAGTAAGAAGCCTCTCATTCCTATCACTACCAAAAACTCTTTTGTAAAAAACTCCATTTCTACCATAATAGACACCTAATCTTTCTCCAACAGTAATATTATTATTAGAAGTTACAAAGTCATTCCATGACTCATCAACAAATAAACCACCAGGGACTCCTGCGTGGCTGCGTCTTGTGGTACACTTACCACTCCAACATTCCAAACACGCCCATTATTCCCACGATAGACTTTCACTAGTTCTCTAAAGTTAAGTGAAAAAATATTTCAATCTTCAAGAAGTGGCTGAATTACAAAAAAATGAAAAATAAAAAATAAAAACAAAGTTATATACTTTTAATACAGAAAGCAAATAAAGCTAACAAGATAAGTTATTTACTAGTCCACGCTTATAGGACATCTGAATTTCACATAACAGGAAATCATATTTGCGTCCATAGCCTCGAAGATGATTTAATAATATAGAAAAAAAATATGAGTTATATAAAAACTTTGTAACTTATATTTTGGCAAGATAAGTTGAAGGTTTATATAGACACAAAACAAGCTTAATATAGAAACAAACTTTTTATAGTTGACAAGTTATAGACAACCTTTTAATAACATAGAGAACTATTATGTAACTGTTAGGAAAGATTAAAATGCTGACTAATTCATTTAATATAGCTAATTTATGTAGGGGTGAAAGTTCGGTTTGCGTTGTGGTTTATAGCCCAAATCGAAACCAAATCACATTAATTCAGTTTTGGGATTTTTCAAACTACACTGCACCATATTATTATTGAAACCGAACCAAATCACACCGTTTTAAATTCGGTTTTTCAAAAAAAAAACCAAACCACATCGAAATTTTTCATCCTCTTTCTTTTTGCTCCATCTAACTGGTCGTTCACTCCAACATCACTCACATTGGTTGATATTGTAGGACATAAAAAAACACAAGTTTTGTTATTTTTTGGCTTTATATATGTAGGGTAGAAATTAGTTTTGGGCTAGGCTATAATTTGAATATGGGCCATAATTCGGTTTGGATTTCGGTTTTTGGTTTTTCAAATCTTAAAACCGAAACCAAACCATACTAATTCGGTTTTGGGATTTCTCAAACCGCACCGAACCATATTAGAAAAAAAAACCGCACCATATTTCTAATTCGGTTTGGTTTGCAGTTTGATTCGGTTTTAAACCGCATTAGTTTCACCCCTAAATTTATGGCAAATAATAAAACTTTTTTTTTTTTTTTTTTTTTTACCGAAAATGGGCCAATAATAAACCTTAGAAACTTTAAGATAAGACAAATGATAACACGCCTAGCTATAAGTTGGAACGAACTAAGAAGATTGATATAGGAAAATCAAATGGATGAATTATTGATGGAATGGTATTAGTGCATCAGTCAATGCATTGAAATGTCCAAGTCAACGACCCACCTTCATCAATTATTTAATTCATTCACTATACCATTTCAACTCACCATCATCTTCAAATTCATCATCTAAAGTATCTAACTGCAAGCTCTCCTCTTTACTGTAAGCTCTTTCTCTATCTCATCATTACTTGGTTATTTATTTATTTTTTTTAATTTTTTTATTTTTTTGGCTGCACATTCATGGGTTTTATTGTTAAGTTAGATGGTTGTCAATTAAGCAGAAAAAATCTAGTTTTGCTGATTTTATACTAATTTAATTCGCCCTTCTTATTTAATTGCTATATTGTATCTTATTAGTTAAGAATTGCTGAAGAATTATGAGAAATAATTGATCTAATCCCATTTCAATTTAAACTTTAAATGTTTAGAATTACAAGTATTGATCATTAATTTATCATGGATTCATGGATATGTTGGTTATTTTCTGCTTTCCTCTCTGTGTGGGTATAATTGTGATGTTTCTTACCAATTGCACATATGTTGGGCTATGTTACTTAGATTCTTCATTTCACATCAAGTAGTACCCACGCCGGATCTTAGACACTCCGACATGGGTATGGACAGTTTGTTGGGCACTTACACTTTAGTCTTTAAACATAGGTATTTCCCCCAAAAGTAATCGAGTTTGACACTTGGACATAAATCCACATAGCCTCCATTTTGTACACCCGAAGGTCATACATTGAGCAATTGAACAATAATAAAAAGTACACACGGGTGCATGATAGATTTTGCAACATACCCATCTCTTATACTAGTACCCGAGTCCAAGTAAGTGTATAACTGTATAGCTTCTACTGAGCAATTGAACTAGAAAAAAATGTACACTCGGGTGCATGATAAATTTTTCAACTTGCTTCATATCCGTGTCTTATACTAGTACCCGAATCCAAGTAACATAATCCGCATATGGGAACAATGAACTGTTTTCTTTTCTTTCCCTTTTCTGGGGCTCTTTTTTTCATCTTTGCCTAGAAGATCATATGATCAATTGGAATTCTTAATACTATTAAGTTGTTGAATGCTCTTTTATTATGTCAACACTTTTCTCTTTCCGTTCTGTGACTCGCAATTCTGAAATGCCATTGTTGTTTAATCAGGAGAGAAGTGAAATATGGTGGATGCAGTTGTCAGTGTATGTTTGGAAAGACTCTTCAAAGTCCTTGTCAAGGAAGGTAATGTTCTACTTGGTTACAGGGATCAGTTTCAGAAGGTACAAACTGATCTCCAATACATGAAAAGCTTCTTCAAGGATGCAGAGAGGCTCAAAAGGAAAAACGAGGTTTTGAAATGCACTCTAGCTGATTTGCGAGAGCTGGTCTACGAAGTTGAAGACATACTTGCAGATTGCCAGCTTTTGTCAGATAGCTCAGGAAAACTTCTTCATGGATTTTCCCCTATAAAGGTTCCATCCAAATACCAAATGGGAAAGAGGCTGGGGGAAATTAGTGAAAAAATTACTAGCATCAGAAATAATATATCATCTTTTCTTGCGCCACTTTCTCAGTCTCTTCATGGTAATGCACAAGAAGATGGACCACCGAGATGGAGTTCTCCCATCTATGATCATACTCAGGTGGTTGGATTAGAAGGCGATACAAGAAAACTCAAAGATTGGTTATTTCAGGTCGATAACAGTGGCATACTATCCATTGGTGTTGTAGGTATGGGGGGATTGGGGAAAACCACTGTTGCTCAGACAGTATTTAATGAGAAAGAAGTTGAACTTCATTTTGAGAAGAGAATTTGGGTCTCTGTATCACAGAAGTTTACTGAAGACCAGATCATGAGGAGCATCTTGAGAAACCTCGGTGATGTTAATGTTGGGGATGATCGAGGTGACTTACTAAAGAGGATTAACCAATACCTTTCAGGCAAAAGGTTTCTGATTGTGTTGGATGATGTTTGGAGTGAGGATACTTCATGGTGGCTGAGGATTTTTGCAGGGTTGCCAAAAGGAATTGGGGGCTGTATTATTGTGACTACTAGAATCGAGAATGTTGCAAGAAAAATGGGAGTGCAGGAAGCAAGAATCCATCAACCCAAAGTCCTCAGCGAGGGCCACAGCTGGTCACTCTTCTGCAATGTGGCATTTGCAGAACATCATGGTACTTGTACGTCGACTGAGCTTGAATGTGTTGGAAAGGAGATTGTTTCTAAATGCAAAGGCCTTCCACTAGCAATCAAGGCAGTTGGAGGAATGATGCTTTGTAAGCCACCATACTATCATGAGTGGAGGAGGATTGCTGATCATTTCCGGGAGGAATTGACTGATCTTGATGACAACTCTGTCATGGCTTCGTTGCAATGTAGCTATGATGAGCTTCCATCTTATTTGAAATCCTGCCTCCTCTCCCTGTCCATATATCCTGAGGACTGTGAAATAAGTAAAGATCAGTTAGTCCGATGGTGGATTGGTGAGGGGTTTGTGCCTGTGAGAAATGGTAGGCTAGCAACTGAATCTAGTGAAGATTGCTTCTCTGGCTTAACTAATAGATGCTTGGTTGAAGTAGTTGAGTGGGATTACAATGGGAAGATATCCACATGTAAAGTTCATGATATGGTCCGAGATCTGGTAATCCAGATTGCTAAGGATGAATCTTTTTCAGGATTAAGTGCTGCTCTTCATCGCCATCTGGGACTTACCACAGACATTAAGGAAAAGGAAATGGTAACGAGCAAAAAATTGCGGGCATTAATATCCACCTCCAAAATCGGTGAAGTGAACAAAATTGCTTCATGTGTTGGGAGCAAGTTCTGTGATTTTAGGTACCTGCGAGTGCTGGATTTGTCGAAATCTATCTTCGAAGTGTCTCTTGCTTCCCTACTGGAAAAGATAGGAAACCTAAAGCACTTGTCATGCTTCAACTTAAGCAATACCCACCCATTGACTCAAGTTCCTCAAACATTAGAGAAACTCCATAACCTTCAGATATTGGATTTAAGTTACTGTCAAAGTCTTAGATCTCTTCCTCCTTTTGTCATGACTTTCGAGAACTTACTGGTGCTGGATGTAAGTCATTGTGGATCCCTAGAATTTCTGCCAAGAGGCTTGGAGAAGCTCTCAAATCTTCAAGTTCTGTTAGGATTTAAGCCTGCTAGAGTGGAAGGTGAAGGTTCTAGATTCTCCGAGTTAAGAAGCTTAAGTCAGTTAAGGATACTGGAACTGCAACTGACTCGAGCTGATGAAATTGATGATGGTGAGACTGATGCCTTGACTGGCTTAAAAGAGATGCAGATTTTGACAATAAGTTGTTTCAACAGTTTTGAGAGTGATAAACTCATATCAAAACTTGAGAAAATTTGCCCACCACTGCAGCTACACGAGTTGTCTCTTAAATTTTACCCAGGAAAAATCAGCCCACATTGGCTTAATCCGGCTTCTCTGCCTATGTTACGGTATCTTTCAATGTGTGGAGGGAACCTAGCACAATTGAACAAAAGTTTCTGGGGAATTGATGAGACTACTTGGAAAATCAAGGGCTTGAAGTTGGATTCACTCTCTCATTTGAATTTGAAGTGGGAAATGATTCGAAGAGTGATGCCATCCTTGAGCACCGTGCATGCTTGTTGGTCTCCCGAATTGATATCTTTCCCAATAGAGGGTGTTGGTTTCAGAGGCGGTGTGTGGAAGGAGGTTCGGAATAGCTAAATCAAATCAAGAGAAAAACAGAAAAAGATGTTCTTGATTGCCAGGTATAGAACATTGAAGCTATATATCTTATTATCTTTGAGCTTTTCTGGTGAAATATCATACTATGTCATTTTTTTTTCTCTTTGATGCATTTCCATCTTATAAATATAAATTTTCTATTCATGATTGTTTAAAATTGATTTACAGAACGGGATTTCTTCCTCATTGGGGTTTTGTTGTAATTGTATGCCAGAGTGCATTCTTCATGTATGTTAAACATGTTTACAGTAAAGTATGGCTTTGTCCAAAGTGTGCGCCTTTAATCTATACGTGTCTTGTAGCTTCTTTCATAAACTAATTTCAGTAAGACTGCATAAAGTTGATTCAATACCCTGCATGAGGCCATGAACTATGAAGCATCAAAGCAATTAATGCTGGAGCTCAAAACAGTATATATGTGCTTCTACTAAATTGATTAGCTTTGCAATTTTAGTCTAATGATTGCCTCCCAAGTCCTAAGATGGATAGTTTTCAGCATATACATGCCATATATTAAGACAGCACGTTCACAGGGAATCAGGGAATTCTAGTAGTAATGACAGAGACGTATTTTTAGACTTGTAGCTAAACTGTATCGAATAGACTAGCTGGAAAAACTCGAAAACAACAGAAAAACACACACCCTCTGATTTATCTGTCCTCTATTGCGTAGAGTTTAGACGGCAAAAGAAAAAAAGAACTGCAAAATCCAACTAAGCTTTTCTTACCTTCTGTATTCATTGTTCTGTAGGAGGCTTCAGCCTGGCTAGCCTCTTAATTCTGTCGTTGTCATTATTTTCCAACATTCCCTGAAAAAAGAGAAGGCAAATTGCTTGCTGACATTAGAGTATGAAAATTCCATTTTGAACCTGTCTGAACCCAAATCTCACAACATCAAAGAAAGAGCCTAACACACATAACACACAATAGTAGTGCCCAATTGCATGGGCGTGCGAATTAAGTGAAGGGAACATTAAAGTTATGTTTGCGTCAAAGGAAGATATGAATATTACCTTCCAGAAGATCTCGTCAAGGTGCAAACATATTCTTCCATACTTGTCCAGAAAACGGCTCTCAGATGGAGGTTTTCCACAGGCATCCTTGATAGATGTTGTAATGGCACGCATAACTTCCGACACTTCAGAAAAATAGAGTTAGCATTTAGAATGAATGCAGGTTAATCGCAATCTCTAACCATGTTGAGTTGATTAACCAGACGTGTAAATTTTACAAAGACAGTAGGAAGCTTAGCTCGGTGATTACTTACGTGTAAGTTCATCATATTCATCCTTGCCAACAGCGTAGATGCTCACATCTCCGAACAGTGTGTAAACGATATACACTGATCTGAAAATGGAAAACACTGCACCATCATGAGAGAAATAAAAACGTGAAAGACAACACATAACCCATTGCAACAAGAGCTAAAGTGATCATAAGTCAAAATTTAAAACATGAAAGACAGCATTCTAAGAACAGTACTTAAAATCACCCCATCATGAGAAGAAACATGTAAATAATTGTTAAGAAGGATTAGTTTTGAAATCGAGTGCTTTAACATTAACATGCAAAAAAGATTTTGCGAGCAATGTCGAAAATACAAACTTATGGTGTGCAATGAAATGCTCTTCATGTTTGGCACCCTTGAGGTTAGTTTGGCCAAGCTTGGCTAAGAAAGAACGCCAATGCAACCGCTCCTCTGATGGCACACCATTAAATCTATCAATACAGAAATTCGTGCATAAATTAGCATTTCAAATCTTTAAATAACTAATTACTTCATTAATACAGAATTGATAGTCATGGCTTTAATAATGTAATGTTATTGTAAGTAATTTGATTTAGTTAAATGATTTCGGATGAAGGAGGGCATTATTTATGCCTTGATGCAATTAGTTATGCAGAAAAAAAAAAATTGAATTAAAAGCATAAAATTTCAAGTGAGGGAGGAAAAAAAAGAGTACCTCTCAACTAAGATGTTGGCTTGAGGGTTTGTGATTAACACAGCAAGAATCATTTTAGTTATTCTGATCTTCTATTCAAAAATCAAAATTCCTTCTTTCCATGAGTATTATGTTATTTTTTTGCTTTTTTCTCTTCTTTTGGGAGTCAAGAAATCATAACAGTTTCCATAATTTGTGGCAACAATTTCTGTATTAAATATTTTTATTCAATTTTTATGTGGGCAAAATTTATTGTCAAATTAAATGGTTCTTTCTTGTCAAATTAAAAATTAAATAAATACTTGTAATACAAATTGATCACTATAGTTTTTTTTTTTTTTTTTTTTTTTTTTTTTTTTTTTTTTTGATAGTGACAACAAAGTAAGAAAAAAACCTAAACAACTTTAAAAGACCAAAAAAAACACTTCCGAGCACGAGCCTTTTCAACCAACCAATATGCAGGAGACACCAATTTCCTAGGAACCTTAAGAATTTTACAAGCCACAAAGGTAGACAGAAGAGCTCGAATATCCCGAATCAACCTCGTCCCGAAATTGATCACTATAGTTGGTACTACTGCTGTGGCTTGTGAGGACCGTGACAGCTTGTTTACCAAGCATCCGCGCCAAAGAGTCTCTTGTATTACCCGTCTCTTGAAAGTTTCCACCACCTGACTCCTAGGAAATGAACATTGATAGATCCACTCGAATCAATCACCCTCAACAGGGGTAGCTCTTAGAGACTAATTTCGGTTAATCTGCTAAATCGCAGAATCCGCAATTCTGCAATGGTCTCTGGTTGGCAATGGCTAGTGGCTGTAGCAATCTCCATATTATCATTCATACCATTGAAGAGTCAACTCCTGAATGGAGACATTTGAAGATATGCAACATTACATAAACCACAACTATACATAAACGTAGAGGAGCATGAACCTTTCTCATTTGAAATTTTACATCAGTTTTCTGCTTATTGCTAATATAGTACAGACAACGGAGTACACAGATGTGTTATGAGCAGAATTCAAAGAGAGTAAATCTTTTATAATTGATGTTATTACAATTCTTGTTCTGCATTCTAAAGCAGTGAAGTTTGCATAATGAGGTAGTCCGCAAGGACAAAGAAATATACATGCCCTACAAAACTATAGAGACATGGAAATAGCTACAGTCGATGAGACGACGACTTCAGGTTTGCTAACAGATGTCTCTTCCTCACTTTTACAGGATCTCACTCGAACTAACTTGGAGGGAGTGAAACAGCCTGGCTGAGCCTGACAGTATCCAGGTTCCAGGACATTAAGCTTTGATCTTCAAGGGGAAGCTTTCTACAGCAGACCTAATAGTAGGATCATACAAACCGATGAATTTCCAACTTTGGATTATGTCAAATCTGTTCAGTGAACAAACAGTAACAACCATACAAAATTTGAGTGGATATTGAAATGCAGGAAGACCATATGAGAAGTTATACATTATACAAAGAAATAATAGCAAAAATAAACAAAATTCTAAGAGTATATACGAGTATCAATCTAGCATCATAAAAAGGATTACCAGCTGCTTTTCCAGTTCTTTAATTTTGTATTTCCTACAGTGCTGCAACCACACACTAGACTGCTTGCAATTGACAAAATTAGTCCGTTTTTCAGACTGCATAGCACAGACCTAGACTAATCATCGTCATCCTCAATTACCCTTCTTGACTTGAAAATTTGCAGTAGCGAAGTCATACACGGTCAAATGGATGGAAAATTTGCACATGAACTGCAAAAATCCACAGCTTTAAATATTAACTCTGGCCATATTTTAATTAAAGAGATGCACTTTATCAGTCACAGGGATATAAATTATGGTAATTATAGATATGAAGGATATGAAACTTGCCTGACAGAACAGCCAACAGAAGGATCTCAATAAGATGTCATTAACATTGACCTCCTAACACATGTTAAGACACTGCAAAAGTACTTGAAGATCCCTTTGATATAAGCAAGTGATGGGTGAACGCCAAAACTGTAGCTCAAACCCTGCAGAACACAAAACATAGAAGAATAAAGCATGATCAAGAAGACATCCAATAGTAACTCAATATAAGTATCATCCCCAACACCAAGTTAATAGAGTTGAACATGAAAGACAACTACTTGGACAAAAGAAAATCCAACCATACAACTGGTATAGATTTCATATTCAACAAATGATGCCGGTCCTATTGGTAAACCTTTGCAACCTCATTATTGTCGTATAAATATCATCTACCTCTAAACGAAATGTTAAAAAACCGACAAAAGGAAATCCATGAACCATATGATGTACATGCCAGATTCATTATCCATTGACCTCATTATAAAGATAAAAATAAAATAAATAAACAATTAAAAAAAATATAAATGTGCAGTGACCTAAGCTGAGCTGGGCTGCTGGCTAAAATGTACATCCCAAGGATATCATTTTCTTCTTTATCAGATCATACATAGATTAAAACCACTTCCACTGAAAGTAAAACATGCATATGTGAGCACTTATACAGGGTCCATAAAATTCTCTCATATATTACTCCTTTATATGTAAAATTCAGCCAGCTGAGGGTCATGTAAAACATGCAAATCCAGAGCGATCACGCAAAACATGCAAATCAAATCTAGTATGGATTGCTCAATTACTACTTCAGTCAATTTTTCGTGGATGCAAGTTCTAGTTCACAAGTTTTTTCAAGAAGCACCGTATATCACTCTAAAGTCATGTTCAAATGACCTAATCAGTCATTTAACTACACTAGCACAGTTATAGAGATGCAATGTAGCAAGCAATCAAGCAATCCGCAGAGTCTAAATATTGTTCCTTTCCCAATTAAATTCCCAACCAGGAATAGCAAAGTCTGATTTTCTAAATGAGTACAGCCAACCACTCAGCTGTTTTTCAAGAAAAAACAAGGCCTATAACAGTTACTTAGTATTATATATTTCTGATTTGTAAGCATTCACAACATAAAAATGTTTCAAGCGTATTTACAGAATCAACCAATACATTCTTGACTCAATAACTTTCTTAGAATATCTTGTGTGAATCTAGTTAGATTTATCACAACTATGAAGCACCAGAAAGAACTCAGTTCCGGACTTCCAGGCAGAATAATAGGGAAACATAGACAGGCAAGAAAACAAAAATGTGTAAAAGGGAGCAGCAGACCTCATTGAAGATGAATTTCTTGAGTGGATGATCATTACTGTTCAACACTCAGCAAGCTCAGTTATTCAATCCCGGAGTCTTCCTACTCTCTCTTTAAGACTAAATTTCTTCTTCATCACAGGGGCCACTTCTGATACAGTGTCATTTTGACTTC